AGACGGATGCCAAGCTGGCGAAGCGGTATGTGGACCACTCGTTCGTGCTCCGGCTGCTCGATCTCTTTGACTCGGAGGACCCAAGGGAGCGGGACTACCTCAAGACCGTGCTTCACCGCATATATGGTAAGTTCATGGTCCATCGCCCCTACATCAGGAAAGCCATCAACAACATTTTCTACCGTTTCATATTTGAGACGGAAAAGCATAATGGGATAGCCGAGCTCTTAGAAATCCTGGGGAGTATAATCAATGGATTTGCACTGCCCCTGAAGGAGGAACACAAGCTTTTTCTCGTGAGGGCGCTTATTCCGCTCCACAAGCCTAAAAGCATACCAGCATACCACCAGCAGCTCTCGTACTGCGTGACCCAGTTTGTGGAGAAGGACTGCAAGCTGGCAGATACTGTCATCAGGGGTCTGCTTAAGTATTGGCCGGTCACTAATAGTTCGAAGGAGGTGATGTTCCTGGGGGAGCTGGAGGAGGTGTTGGAGGCGACCCAGCCACCCGAGTTCCAGCGGTGCATGGTGCCTCTGTTCCGGAGGATCAGTCGATGCCTTAGCAGCTCGCATTTTCAGGTTTGGATGAAGGATTATCTCTTTCTTTCTTTTTTCTCTGATTATTATATATATCGAGATGTAATTACCATATCTTATTTAAGTTCGTTATTTAGGGCTAGAATAAGTTGATGGACCGCGTTTGAGGCTTCAGAACCCTAATTTATTTTTAATTGTGTAGTACTTTTGGGTCTCTTAAGCCGTCGAGAAAAAGAATTGAGGAGCCTTCATCTTAGGCAGGAGAAATCCTGATCGTGACGTCATTGCATTGTGTTTTCTATTTAATTTTCATTGACTACCCCAACTTGTTTGGGACTAAAAGGTTTTGTTGTTGTTGTTGTTGTAATGAGATGGAGAAAAAATGAGAGGCTTATTTGGTGGTGTTCTTTATATATTGAAGTTCTATGATGTAAACATGTCAAATATTTGTGGCATCATAGTTGATTGATTGCATCCAAGTAAGTCAAAACGTTGAGTTCAAAAAACTCTTAGTGACTTTGATTTCTTTGTTCTCTAAGAAAGAGACAAAAAGCTCTAGTCTTTTTTGTGTACGGATTAAACCGTTTTCAACTCACACTTTGTCTGAAATCCACCATTTTTACTAGAGATTGCTTCACTAGTACAATCATGTCACCACAAATTTCTTCTCCTTGGACTGGCCTGGTGGCCAATTCGATTGACCCATTTCTGTCTGCTGTCACCCATCGTTATTCTATTTGCCATTATGACCGTGTCTTTTTGCGTATCTCATGGGATTTTTCTATTATATGTTATCCTCATAGGGAAAGTTTCAGATGGAAAAATATTATTGTGTAGATTATTACAACTTTCTTATCAGGCAGTCTGCAGCAAGACACTGTAATGAAGTTGTAACCTTGCACGCGTCTTGTTTCATCCTTCTTACGTGAGCTGAAGATCTCATGATTATTAGGCAGGATATCCACAGTGAACTTGTAAATTCCAATGATTATCTTTGATGATAATATCTAATGGTTTAGCCTTGTCAGTTCACTTTAGTTGAAAGTCGTAGAAATTGTGTTACGTGGTGTAAGGCTGCTAAGGGGGCAAAATCTTCTGCTTTTTGTTAAATTGATAATTGCAGCTGGTCCTTAAGTTGAGAATTGCAATTGGGGTTGTGTTGGCATTGAAGCTATAAAAATTAAAAGGCAAACTATTATTGTGAAAGTTTTTAAATGTCTGTATCAATTAGAAAAAAGTGATTAACAAATTCTTGCTACAGGTGGCAGAAAGGGCCCTCTTCTTATGGAACAACGACCACATCGAGAACCTCATCAAACAAAACCGTAAGGTCATACTCCCAATCATCTTCCCCTCGCTGGAAAAAAACGCACGGGCACACTGGAATCAGGCCGTCCAGAGCCTGACTCTTAATGTGCGCAAGATATTCTCGGACGTGGACCCTGACCTATTACAAGAGTGCCTACTAAAGTTTCAAGAAGATGAAGCCCAAGAACAGGAAATCAAGGCCAAACGAGAGTCCACCTGGAAACACCTCGAGGAAATAGCCACGGCCAAAGCAGCCAGCAATGAGCCAGTTTTTGTGCCCCTATGGATGAGTACTAAAATGCCATCTGGGTAAAAGGAATTTGAGGCTTAATGTGTTTTTTTTTTTTTTTATTATTTATTTTTATTCTGTGGTCTTTGACTGATGTGTGTTCTGTTATTGACCGCATGGTTCTTTGGGGATAGTGAGGGTGAGACATGTATGTATGGCCAGAAAAAGGTGAAGGAGGAGAGAAAAAGAAAGGGGGCAGATGGAAAATAGTTTTTGCCTATAAGAAAATGGGGCCTGTACTGTACATATGGAATTGGGGTGTGGCCTGCTACAAGAAGGGGCTTTGGTATGTGATATTTGTTGGCAAATTGGTTTTTTTCTTCATTCTTTAGCTTTTAGAATTTGATGTTAAAGGGTTGTAATTTTGTATGTCTAGAGTTTTTTGAAGTGGATTTCAATTCATGTATTTTCTCACGTGCAATTCGATTTAAACATTTAGCATTGCAGTGTCACAAGTGCCTCTCTAGGACGTACTCCAGATTTTTTTTTTTTATCAATAAATTTAAATTTATAGATCATAATTAGAGTACGGACGACCGACAAACAGCAAACATGCCCACAAGCTCGTCTCCTCACTCGCGGATAGTAAGTCTAAGAGGGTAACTACATGTCAGTTGCTCACTCAGGTTCCAAAATAAGACAAAAAGACAACCATCAAATTTTCCAACCAAGGGAGAAGCCTATACTTTAACGACTTTTTTCTCATATTCGGCAAGTACGTTTGGATACAACGCAAAAATTTTACGATGAACATGAGTTTGGATCTTACGGATTACTAGGCTTGGAGGTTTTCGCATTCCAAATGAAGTACACGGTAGCCGCGAGCGCCACTTTCTTCAACTTGGTTTGCCAACTAGCCCCTCATGCTTCCTTCTTGGTCCGTTTAAGAGCTTCTTTGAGTGTCAAAAGCCTATGACGGGAGCTAACCCAATCACGAATCACTTCCCAAATTTTCGATCTAAAGGAGCATTCAAAAAATAGATGACCCAATGATTCTACATGCCTCCACAAAGAGAGCAAGTCGGGTCTTCATCAAGGAACTCTAAGCAGTCCTTTGTATCGACTATGGAGACAATTGAGCACTCCCAACCAAAGAATGAAAGAGCGTTCGGGCGTATTGCAAGGGCCCCAAACCACCCCCGTCCATGGCACCAATGTACCGCCAGGCCTTAAAAAATCATAGCAACTTCTCAACCCCTCTTTCTTACCTCGTGTACTCCAACGATGAAGTAGAAATTTTGCGGCTTGCTCACTTCCCGCTTGGTCAACCAAGGCCCGTCGGATCTCGAAAAGATATTTGAAAAGGGGCGAGTCATCCTTGTGTATTTCCCATTCCCACACGGACTTTCCTCATAAATAAATATGGTGGAACCATTTGTATCATAAGGTGCCCTTTTTAGCTTGCATGTTCCAAAGAGTACGTGCAAGCAACGCATGATTCCAACCGTTCAAATCACGAAGATCCAAGCCCCCCTCTGCGCGCAGAAGACTAAGCTATCCCAAGCTACGAGAACGTTTTTCGAGCCCCAGATAAAACGCTTACATAGTTGGATAATTTTGGTACGTATTTAGTAGGCAAGTGGAAAATTCCCAACCAAAAACTCGATACGTTGATCACTGAGCGGATGAGTTCCACTCTACCGGCGTATGAGTGTATGTCCGCTCCATCCGCTAAGTTGCATCTCGATTTGCTTAACTAAGCCATCAAAGAGCCTTGCCGTTACACGCTCCGCGGTGCGAGGGACACCGAGGTACCGAAAGGGTATTAGACCACATTACAAGTGCATGTCATCAAGGATTGTTGCCCATTTAGCATCATTCTAAGTAAATATTGGATATTTTAATATTCATTTCTAGCCGCGATTTATAGCCCCAAAGTCCTTGAGGCAATTCATGAGGATTTGGATGGACGTTGGGTCGCCTCAGGAGAGTAGCATGAGATCGTTGACGAAGGCAAGGTGTGTGATTTTGAGATGCTCACACTTCGGGTGGAATTTGAAGTTCGAGCCCTCCACGTATTGCACTTGAATAGCACATATTTTTTACTTGTATTTTCTATGTGGAATATGTTTCCTTGCTAAAATTATTGGGTCAATATTGGGCCTAACTAGCAAAATTGTACTCATTAAAAAAAATGTATTGTTTGGACTATGTATCTATATCAATTCCCAATTTATCTAAAAAAAAAAAAAGCAATTTATTATTGTTTGTTATGCACATTATTTATATTTATTATATTTTAATCAATAATAAAAAATTTAAAATGTGATTTAAAATGAAAATTGGGTTAGCTCTATTCTCTCTATTTTGTAACTTAAATATAGATTCAAATTTCAAATATAAAAATAAAATAAAAAAAGTTAACAACATTATTCAACATTATCGGTTGTATCTATTATTGAGCTATTATTTAGAGAAATATCATACAGTATAATGTTAATGGTAAATATATATATATATAATTATATATTATACATATAAAATAAATAAAAATTATATATAATTAGACCGGTTCGACTGTTGGTCTGACTAATGAACCATTGAACCAGTAGCTTCAGTGGTTCGATGACAGATTCAGTTTTCAGAACCAGATTTATACATTATTTTCTTAATAATTATATATATATATACATATATATATATATATATATGAAAATATAGATATATGGATTAAATGCTTATCAATTAACATTTTCAAAGATGATTCATATATTAAGCAGTACATAGTTACAAAGATCTTAAACTAAAAAAAAATAATATTTTTATGAAATAAAAAATAAAGATTATGTAGCTGACTCGTTCCTCGCGAACCCTATCCCCAAATCCTCTATCTCGTTCCTCGCCAAAATCTCCGTCGCTGCATGCCTTCCCCGACGGACAGCCGATCCTTTCGCTATCGGATGGCCCGTAGCTGCGCGACCATGCTCCAATCGTGCTCCCCCAGGTCTTCCCGGCTCCGACAGTGGATTTCCAACGTCCTTTGGTCGGCTCCGCCTCTGTAAGGTTGTCGATGGCATGCACGAAGGCTTCTCTTCCGTTTTGTGTCCGATTGTTGAATGGTGGTGCGTGGTTGGGGTGTTGGGTGCGGCCCTGGTTGCTCGGCTCGTCTGAGTCGCGGTGGTCGGGGGCTGAGGTGGATCGATTCTCGCCTCTGGGTCCATATTCCTCTAGTGTTGTGGCTGTGAAATAATGGCACGCCCGGATCTAGGCCAGTGGTGTTGACCGGGTCTCGGGGTAGCTGGTGTGTGGGGGGCTGGTCGATACTCGTCTAGTTGTGGGTCGACTTCATCCTTGGAGTGGTTTGAAGTTCGGGACTCATCCTTTGCTACGCATTAGGCAGTGGCGGGAGTGGCGTTCCAGATTCTGGGTCAAGCTGTGGATAGTTAGTCCTTATTTCGCTGGTGCCTTGTGTTGGGTTTGGTTACGCTGTTGGGAAGGGCTTTGTTTGTTGGTAGATTAGGACCCTTTGTCTTATTTTGTTATCTTTGTGTTCGTGATGGTGTTATTAGGTTTGTGTTTTGGTTTAAGCCATTTGGTCTTTGTGAGCTCGAATGTGCACTTATTATCTTGCTGGGATCGTACACTCGGAGTAGTTTTCGTTTTTGGTTGTGTTAGTTGTTTTTGTATAGCTGCGACAGACTTTAGGCGATCTTCGGATCTGCCTCTCAGTCTTTTCAGTGTTTGGTTGTAGTATTCAACTTTTAGTTCTTTCTCTTAGCACTTTGTGCGGCTTTTATTAATATAATATCTCTATCGTATCGAAAAAAATAAAAGAATAGTTAGACTTTTACTTTTTCAAAAATAAAAACAAAGATTATGGAAAGAATTTAATTAGTCTTTTCATTTTCTAAAAGAAAAAAGAAATTGTTGAATAAGTAAAAAATTACGTTATTTAATTTCATCTTTTAGTAATAATACTTTTTTTTCCCAAAAAATTTCATGTTATTTTAATGATTGTCAAACTATAAATATATAGATAGTGGTTTAGCTTTTAATAACTAATAAAAGTAAGACATCCAATAGAGTGTATTCAATGTGTATTGACCAATAAATAAAAGATACATTGAAAATTGACAAATAAAGTTTGTGATTTATATCCTACAAGCTACAACAAATTTATTGAAATTACATAGCCAAATAAAATAAACAAATAAATAATAATGACATAGCAACCAAAAAGTTGTACTCGACAAATTAATTTTATATTATCAGGTTTGAAATGAGTTTCTTTTAAATGGTTAAATTAAATGATAACATATGATCTTGTGATGTTTTATTTTTATAGCGAATCGTTATTAATTAATTATAAAATAAAAAAAATATGGAAAGAAACATATGTGACAATTGATGAACTTAAATTGTTAAATGAAATGGATAAATGAAATGGAGTTATTCGATATCTCTGTTGGACTCGGTCTGCCAGACTTGAAAATATGATTTTTTTTTTTTTTCCGAAGAAAATCTTCGATTTGTTAAGGCTTGAGTCCAGCTCGAGACTCATTCATCAGTTCATTTTGTTATGAGCCAAACGCAACTTAGCTCGGCTCATTTACTTCTCTAGTGGCAACAACGATTTTACAATGATCCTCCAATTTTCTTTTTTTTTTCTTTTTTTTTTTT